TACATCTCAATCGAGTTTAGTCATGTACGCACGCGGACGCGTTTTCACCGTCAGCATGGTCAACATACTACACGTTTGTTCTGTTCATTTAGAAGCGTTTCTATTCGTCCACTGATGAAATTTTCAATAACAGTATGAAAAATTATTTTAGCACACAAAATGCCCTTTCAACAAAAAAGGATGCCGTACGTACCTTGAATAATTGTCAATAATGCTTTAGCCCCATTATTTCTATCAGTGAGAAAAAAGATGCATGCTCCGAAGAGTGATCCATGTTACAAAAAAACAAATGAATGATATAAACTCAAAGCTTTTACCCGAACCTTACACAAAAATAAGCCATAAAAAAGCTCAGGAATCGATGCAGTTATCATTCATTTTCGGGTCACATCCAGTTAATTTTGAAATATTCCACACCGAAAGAGTTGTTATAATTTTAAAAGAATTCATCAGTTTTTTTTTTGTCTCAAAATTTAGGTGATGTTCAGTGAATCCTTTGCACATGTTTGCCACGCAATGGAAATAAATTACACGTATGTTTGCTTCAAATATTACTCACGTTTTATATGGAATAAAATTAAATTTGTTGACAGCACCATTTTAATTTTCCTGCTCTCAATTTCACAGAAAGATGCAGCGAACATTCCAAAAAATAATGTTCGTGCTTCTGAAATATTCGGCCATCGATTAAATTACCCATAAAATTGAAAAATAAATAAATTTTCAGACCAGCATGTGGAAGTTGAACTACCCTCGTCTGAACGTTGATAATAACACCAAAAAAATTAGCGAAATAATTTGTCAGCTACTGAAAATTCTCAAAAAAAAAGCCTCACTATCTCTCTCTCACTCTCTGGAGCTTCAAGAAAGGTAAGCACGCAAAAAAGTTTGGTGTCTTGACCAAGTAAAACGGAAAGTGATGAAGTGATTGATGGTCTGCACGCTTCTTTGAACCGCAACTGGGAACTGGGTCGAGGTTGAATTCCCCACATTTTTCGACTGCTTTATATTGTTGAAGGGTTCATCCACCTTTTATTGAATTTATAATCCGTTCCCCTTTGAAAGAAACACTTTTACTCGAGTATTACTTCTTGGAATATCCTAGACCTCGAGGAAATTATCCGGTGACACGTATGAGGTTTTTTCGTCGAGAAAAAACTAAATACGTTTTCTCATTTCATGCGAGGAAAAATTGCCAATTTCAGCGGTTTCTAATGATATTCAATCGGGAGAATAAATATTATCCGTTTCAGTAGAAATTAAAACATTAATGCAAATTTTAAAGGAAATTCAGTACTTTAAAACGTGCCAGAAATTGAATAGAACCAGGAAACCTATTAACTTGTCATATACCGGATTGACGGAAATTTTTTTATGCTAAGAAGGTTTTTCAAGTGAAAGTACGTATTTAATTTCACCTCTACAACGAAAATCTTTAAACGCAAGTTTTGATTTGCACCAAGATCAGCTCTGGCAGAAAAATAAGGAAGTACACAATTTCCTTCTATTTTTTTCATGAGTTCCTTGGATATGATGAAATACACCAGTCTAATAATGAGCAAATGTGAGTGATAAAGAACAACAAAAATCCCCAAAAATATATTAAAAATTTTCAGTCCAATAATCAAAAATATATTTTAATCACTGACAGTCATGTGAGAAAAAGAACATATAAGCTAAATAAAGTCTCACAAAGAGAATGGGAATGGAAAAGGCTCGAATTATTCAAATGCTTGACAAGATGTGGATAGTTTCAAACAAGATTAGCTAGGAAGTGATTGGTGCTTGTGAACTTATCCAGGTAAAGCAAACACTGTTGAGCAGCCAGGCTGTGGCTGGGACAAAGTTGTCTTAGTTTGAAATGATGCATTTTTCAAGAGTTGGAAAGTTTGACAATTGACAAGGTTCACTGGACAGAGTTGAATTTTGCACAATATGCAATAAGAAGCTTTTCCACACAGAGATCCGCTTGGGTTTGCAACTCAAATGCAAGTGTTCAATCAGATGAAATTTGGAAATCAGGAAACAAAGAGTTGAAGGACAAGGATTAAAGATCTATTCAAAGATGTCCTTGCTGGACATGGGAACCAAACTTGGGTTTGGTTCCCAGGCTCCAGCAGAAGCTGCAAAATTTTCTTCAAAGTTAGAAAAGAGGAATTACTAATCTGGCACCAAATTGTTGGTGTGCCAACATTTTTTCCAACAAGTTGCATGTAAGAAGCAATTTTTTGTGGGTATGACTGTCTAAAAAAAAACCTATTCAAAAAATTGTATTTGTTATTTGGGATGCTGATCTTGCTTGTGGTAAAAGTAAACCATTACCATTTGTATAATTTAAAAACCCTTTTTCACATGATACTATAGGTATTTTGAGAAATTCATGGCATTTTAATAAAAAAAATCATCACATTTTCAACTGTGTTCAACTGGTGTGATTTCTGCAGCATAAATATATTGGTTGATTCATCACCAAAGCACTTCATTTTTCTTATGCCCGGCATTCCACAGCTTTACAGAAATGAGCTTCAAAAAGATTTTGTATAATAACCTTAAAATTCAATGAAAATACTCTTTCCAAAATCCTGAAGGACCGAGATAAACTGTTATCTTTGCATGATTTCTCATGAAAGAATCTCTCCAAGTTTTTTAATCAATTAAAACTCAAGTGGGAACATGCTGATGATCTTTTGCTTCAAATTGGGCCCAGTAAATGCCCTTTGCCTCTATTTTATTGAAAATATGTTGCTTTTGTTAACAGGGAGGAGGAGAAAATGTGTTTTTTTTTAGATCAGTTGTGCATTTGTACATTTTGGGATGTATTTCATTTTTGTTTAATATCCATATACAGCTTATTTCTCTGTTTTTCATTCTGATATTCAAAAATAAGGATATATTCTGATGGCATATTCTGATATGATGAAATGTGTTTGGGTGAATGTGGGTGGGGGGGGGGGGGGTTGGAGCGTGGGAACAATGCTTGAACCTTAATTGTGAATGCTAGATATATTCTGATGGCATATTCTGATATGATGAAAATGTGTTTGGGTGAATGTGGGTGGGGGGGGGGGGTTGGAGCGTGGGAACATTGCTTGAACCTTAATTGTGAATGCTGAAAAGCAGAAAATAAAGCTTGCTGTTCAATCCAATTCAATTATTTGGTATGATTAATAACACAACTGTACAAGGGAATTCTAAAAAATAAAACCCAAGAGAAAAGGGGTATATAGAGGAGAGAAGACCGTACTATTACAATTTATCAACAAAAAATCCAACTTTCTGCTAATAATAACTCACTGCTTGAAAAATTTCTGCAAAAAGATGCAGTATACCAATTACACTTGAAATTCCCGTAGCCTCCAAAATAATAAATTTATTTAATTCTCTCCTGATGGCAAGTAATTTTCTTCAAACATGCCCTACATTATTCCTCTCTCTCTCTCTCAAATTAAATTCGGTGAATTTTCCACCAAAGCAAGACCTGCCCAATTTTTCTGAAAGTGCCGGGGAGAATAAAATAAAAAAAGGTTTTGGAAAAGGTACGCGAAGTAACCTTCTGATGGCTGAAATATATAAGCTCACAAAGAGCAGTTGCTGGATAATTTCCACAGCCTTGAACCGAAATCATCTCGCCACAAACGACTCACACACCGAAACAAGGTTAATATTTTCCACACAAACCACTGACGTACCAGGTCAAAGAATCTTCCAAAGACGCATTTCTCAACACAGTCTCTCAACACTATTCAGCTCACACATTCATCGCAAAAGAAAAGAGAAAAAAACACCCTTGACTAAAGCATATCTAAAAAATGCTGGAGCATTTTCTTCGGATTGGAAAAGAGGTCATATATAGAGAGGAAATGAGAAAATGCAATCATAATATTTTTTGTTGAAACTCCAGTTCAACATTTTTGAATTTAAATTTTGATTCCGTTTAATTGAGAATATGTAAAATTCGTTGTAAATCTCAAGAGCTCACACGTCCATCGCAAAATAAATTCCCTTGACTCGCCCGTCTGAAAATTTCAAAAATAATCTTCTTCGTCATAGAAATAAGCCGATTTCGAAAAACGAAAATTCAATCATAATTTTTTTTTTTAATTTTCAGACTAGTTAAGCGTTCAAAAAATTTCGAATTGAAACTTTTATTCCGTTTATTTTAATTTTTTACATTTAACCCTATGCATCTCAAGTCTTGACAGTTCTCACGTTCATCTCAAAATAAATTCCTCCGACTTGCCTCCATTTTAAGAATTTTGGAAAATTTTCTTCGTTAAAAAAAGGAGATTGCGAAACAATTGAAGTTCAATCGTAATATTTTGGTTTCAACACCAGACTATATACTGTACTTGAGCAAAAAATTTTGAATTGATACTTTGATTTCGTTCATCTGAAAATTAAGTAAAGTTTATTTGATGAGAGCTAATGAAAGAAATTCTCGGTAGAGGCAAAAGCTCAGCAGATTTCCGCATTAATTTTTTTTTTATAAAATTAATGTAGCATCACAATAAATTAATTTTTTCCTCGAGAGATATTCAATCGAATGTGTAACTTTCTTTTCATAACATTTCGTCAATTTTCATGCTCTCTTGAGCAAAAATTCAGAAAAATGGCCAAATTCTGTTGCTTGAAGTGAATTTACTCGCAGTAAACATATACGAAAGCTAATGATTTTTGCTTTTAAAAAATCATATTTTTCTTTGATGCAATCAACTTGTCGATACATGATGCATCGATTAAATTTATTAAGCTATTTACCTTGATGGGATTCTCCAAACAGATCGATGAGCTTTTTTTTTTTTTACAATTGAACAGAAAAATCTGGCTTCTAATTTCCCGCTGGAATGTGAATGAAAATCATCCCAATTTATCGATAAAAAAAAATACAGAAAGTTTTCAAACGGAAGCAAGATTTGTCCATGCAATCGTGGGATTTCAAAATCGGAATGCGAATTTCCGTTATTTACTCAAACGTTTTCAAAACTTAAAATCATGCCTATGTATTGTATATACATACCAATGGCAGATGATTCTTCTGCCATCAAATCCTCGGCATAATCTTTTTCGATGAGTCCTTTGAGTGCGTTAGAAACTCCAAAGCACGAGGTCAAGGCGACGACCATCAGGCCCCATAACACCAACGATTTCTGCTAAAAGAAAAAAAGGAATAAATGGAACAAAAATGATAAAAAAAATTACAAAGTGAGATGATGAAGACTGAGTGAGATGCGATGATGAGATCTCAAGAATAATCATTGATTCAAGTACGGTGAAGAGAAAAGGAACATTTTGAAAATATAAGAATGTATATGGTTTCACGTTGTAAAAATCATGCTCGTTCTCAGAAAGTTTTATTTCATTTCATTTCAAGGTGAAATATCCTTTTCGAAGTCAAGTCCTATTGTTTTAAAAGTTTGCTGGGTGTCTAAAAAAAATCACGACCGATGTTTGTGCAGCAGTTTTTGCAGAACTCTGAACAGTTTTTGACTTTTTTCCAATTCATCTGGCTGATATCGTATCTGAGTAACAAAAGGAAAACGTTTTTTCAACCTTCACAATATATATTCTTTTAAAATAAATCGGCGTCAAAATTTTCCGGCTCTCGACTCAAATAAATCTGAGTTTCTGGTTGAGGGAAAACTTGACTTTTTTTTAGCCCTTATAATTTTTGGAATTGGCATTTAAAAATCAGTTCTTCATATTTTCTAGAAAAAACCGTAGAAATGAGGAAAGTTTTGCCAAGAGAAAATATTTTTATTGTTAAGAGTGCATATAAATTATTGCAGTATTTATACAATATCTTCCCTAGAAATCATAATGTATAAAGAAATCATAATCATAATGTATGTAAACTTGGGAAAATCGTCAATTTGATTCTCAGGATCACAAATTAAATTCAAACACTGGAAAAATATATTTTTGATGGAATTTATTTTATTCATTCGCACCTGGAAAACTTTTTGCTGTGCTGCCGGCCGGGGAGATTATTTTCAACAGAAAAAACTGTATTTTTTTACAAATATAAATCAAAATGTTGTACAGATACGTGGACTTTCCCTAAATTATTTATCGTCCAGCTGAACAAATTTCGTATTTTACACATTCCGATTTGTTTCTGATTATCGGCAGGTCCTTCCGAAATTTAATTGAAGCCTAAACGAATATAGGGCTATAAAAAAGCTGTACTTTCACGAATATTTTTTAAACCGTTCATGAAATATTGTATCTTCAAAATCAGCCTATTTTTATTCCCCACAGTTTAAGCCGCTGATCATCCACGACTCATCGAAATGCTATTCAAAAATTTGTTTTCGAATAATTGAAAAGCGTTACATTTATTCCCAGACAAATCATGAGTCTCGAGTTACGACGTTCGATTTCTTTTCTTTCCCATTTCATGCATTTCGAATTGCAGCAAACGCATTTCAACAAGCTATGAGAAAACCCCTATAGTCATTAGGCTGCATAAGACGAGGGTAGAAATGCATTAATGCTCGGTTTCCCTTCCTTCTTGGCCCAATCGCTGCTGAACGACTATTTTCTTCCTTTCGATGGTCACTATTCTCGACCACCATCCCATGGCAAAAATGAATAAAAAAAAATACGCAATAATGAAAGTTGCACACACGCACCAAAAAAGAAAAAAAGCTGAAAGATCATCATGTAAAAGAGGAGGTATCAGAAAAAAAAAGGCTGCTTGCGCAAGACCTGCTCAGAAGGAGAAGAAAAAAAAAACCGGATCGATTCTCGATTGTTGATGACTGTCCCTCAGGCTGATGTGTTTCTTTTGTTTCATTTTATTTTATTTTTGTAAATTAAACAAAAAATATATACAGAGAGAAGCTGATGGCGATTCCCCCTTTTGCTTTCTAATCACTTTCTGCAACTGGAGGCGTTATTCAGAAATGCGAATGAGGCAATAAGCAGCTTCTATGGAACATGTGATTATAAACTGATGCATTCCTTTGCCAACCACTGGAACTTCCATTTGGGTCTTAATTTATGCATCCACTTTTTTTTAGAGTTGGTGAAAATTGAATAGGATGGCATGCTGGAGAATGCTGTCAAAAACCGCTTTTGAGAGGTGAGATTTATGCCGGGTATGGAAAAAGGTGTAATAAAAATAAATTCAAAGAAGGGAGAAAGTAAATGTATGAAAAAACCAGGAGACTGTAAAAAAGAGAAACAAACCATGAACCTAATACAGTGAGACCCCACATGCAGACACCTCAACATGCGGACAAATTGACATATATGGATACTGATGACGTGCAGCGATTGCATGATGAAATTGTCAATAAATTGCAGGAAAATTGGCTTTTATTGGGCTTAATTGCAAGAGACTGATATTTCCAACCCTAAGATATATGCAAGAAAAATTCTTTGGTATTTCTCCCATCATTTTTTGACCCATTCAGCTGATTCAGGACTTACTTCTCTCTTTGTTACTCGAATGTTTTTTTTTTACAGATGCAAACTTTTCAATGCACTGTACAGATGTACACTATTCAAAGCTCCAAATGTTTGTATTGAGTTGAAAAGATATTCACTGAATCAAATTCAAGTGGCAAACAATATTTTTTTCATTGGATTCTGAAGGACATTTCTTCCATAAAACTATATAACGTAATTCTATGGAAAAATGAGACTCAACTTAGGGACATTTAAACTTAGGGGTACTGTTAATGCACCAATTACATCCACATCTGGAGGTCTCAGTGTACTTCAAAATTCCATTCAATACACATTTAAGTGTAGAAGATCAAATTTAAATACATACAGTAATGCTGGCATCTTTGACGTGAACTGGATCTTGGTGCATGAAAAATCAGAATTATTGTTCTTGAGTGTTTTTATGCCATATTACAAAACACATTCAAGTATAGAAGATCAAATTTAAATACATACAGTAATGCTGACATCTTTGACATGAACTGCATCTTGGTGCATGAAAAATCAGAATTATTGTTCTTGAGTGTTTTTATGCCATATTTTCTCAATGAATTTCTTATGCAGGTACTACCTGTACAACAAAAGAAAGGGGACCAGAAGCGATTCTTTCCATGAGATTTACAATGACAGCTAATCAAAATAGGAAATGCATTCCATTTTGATTAGCTTTTGAGAGTAGGTGTGAGAGTAGCTTTTGAGAGTAGGTGCTACAGTCAGAGATCTCCAACCATGTCACAGTGGGTTAGAAGAATAATTCTGCAGCACACTCCATACTTCAGTATCATTTGAGAAGTTTTCCTTTATCATCATGCAGTACACTGAAAAACAAAAAAAATTTCTGAAACCAATACAAGATTATGGGCTATGTCATGCTTTTTTTTTTACAATCACACATACTCTAAACATATCATGCTTTGCGTTCAACTGGGACAATGTGTGTATATGGGTGGAGTCTCTGTATACTTATTTCTCTTTTATAGCTGAACCTCAATATGGCAAAACTCCCTAAGTTAAATATCTCCCCAAGCCAAGTCACCATCTGAATCCTCTTAGATACAATGCATTAAAAATCCCACTAACTCAAAGTTGTTTCCTCTAAAACCTCTGTATCTTGAATTTGCTAAGGCCTTTTGCCTATTTTTAGTGACTCAAGTAAGAGAAAAGTAATACATGTTTTGAGAGAAACTGAATGACTAATTGGGCAGATGAACCTCTGCCTGCATGTTCACCATCTTATTGTCAACTCATTTAAGAAGCAATTTAAGGCCAAGAATATCATCATTTTACCCATTTTGAAATCCTTCTATGATTTCCACATCGAAAATGCTTGTTTTCTTAAGTAAAAACCTCCCTGAGTTAAATTTTTTGCTAGTCCCTTTAAATTTGATTCACAGAGATTTGGCTGTGCAGTATTTTCTTGGTTCCATAGGGTTCTTTACCCATTTTATAAGGTTTTTGCCTCCCAATTCTCTCAGCAAAAATGTTCCTGATCCCTTGAATTTTGTTGGAGAGAGCAAGAGAGAGAGAGAGAGAGTCCACATTCACAGTATTAATTATTTTCAAAGCAAGGCAAATGACTTGCCTTGAATTGCGCCGCAAATGCTCTTGAGATGCGGGGTATTACAAGGCAAAGTCGGGATGAAGGAGGGGGGGGAGGGGAAAACTGGAGTTTTGAACGCGTTTGGGACTAAATTGTAGGTTGGGTGGGAAAATTATACGGAGGCCGGCTTGCGTCATAACAGGAACTCCCTTATACAGTGCCTTCACTTATTCTCAACTTTTTCTTTTCCTCCAAGGATATCTTTGCAACTTGTTTCAGGGCTACAATTTCCACCCAATTTCATAATCTGAATACTGCTCAGTTTTTGCCAAAACAAAAACCTATATGACACAATTGGTGTTCAGTAGAGGAATGTGTTCAAGGTTGTGCTCTGTTGAGGACTGTATATAGATGTGATGATGGTAAATATAATTTACTGAGTGTTTAAATAATATGGCATAAAAACACTCAAGAACAATAATTCTGATTTTTCATGCACCAAGATGCAGTTCATGTCAAAGATGTCAGCATTACTGTATGTATTTAAATTTGATCTTCTATACTTGAATGTGTTTTGAGAGAGAGAGTCCACATTCACAGTATTAATTATTTTCAAAGCAAGGCAAATGACTTGCCTTGAATTGCGCCGCAAATGCTCTTGAGATGCGGGGTATTACAAGGCAAAGTCGGGATGAAGGAGGGGGGAGGGGAAAACTGGAGTTTTGAACGCGTTTGGGACTAAATTGTAGGTTGGGTGGGAAAATTATACGGAGGCCGGCTTGCGTCATAACAGGAACTCCCTTATACAGTGCCTTCACTTCTCAACTTTTTCTTTTCATCCATGGATATCTTTGCAACTTGTTTCAGGGCTACAATTTCCACCCAGTTTCATAATCTGAATACTGCTCAGTTTCGCCAAAACAAAAAACCTATATGACACAATTGGTATTCAGTAGAGGAATGTGTTCAAGGTTGTGCTCTGTTGAGGACTGCATAGTTGTGATCATGGTAAATATAATTTACTGAGTGTTTAAATAATTAGCACAATTCCTGTAAGACCCTCATAAAAGGCTTAAATATAGCATTCCATGTCTCTATTTTTTTTCTCGCATTTCTTTGTCCTTGAAATCAGGATACACTGCATGCAACTCTCAA